CGAAAGCTTATGCTCCCAATACTTCTGTTAGTCTCAAAGGTGCCACAGGACCCTCTGTTGCTTTTTACATAAAGAACCTCAAGTTCCCCAATATAGGAATTGAGGGCATCATGGATCCCATCAAATTCCAAAATATGCTGAAGGACAGGAGCACTCTATCCATAGGTCAAGGATTTGATGATCTGGTGAATCTTCATAAAAATACTCTAGTTTCAACAATCTACACACTGGCCTTCAAATGTCCAGCAGATTTGATTGTGGAGGCTAGAGTCTCCCTATTGTTCACAAATAACTCCTTGATTTTCTGACCGCTACATCAGATGCAGAGAGAGGTATGGAAACTCAACTGCCAATAGCAAAAAAATAAATGGCTGAAACACAAAGAATTTCTCCAAGTTTATGCCAAGAGAACTTTCCTCACAACCTCTACAGAAGCTATGCAGGGTAGTGTGATGGGGTATTTACCCCACACAGGTAGTGGAATGATTAATAAGGGCCTGAGAAGCCAATTAACACACCTGGCTGCACCTGGAGCATGGGCCAGACCCAACTGAAGAGGAGTCCTAGATGGGGGAGGAGTTGAGTTGTTTATATAAAGAGTGAAAGCTCACAGTAGAAAGCAGCTAAGAGTGTGCATGTGTGTGTCACAACTCTAGTACCTCTCTGAGTAGTAGAGAGCGGAGGAGTTTCATTAGGGTGTTTACACCCTGGATCTGATGGGACAGGATAGCAGAGTTGCAGATTCCTAAAGTGAGCCTGAAAGAAGGTCAACCACAGGCAGATGGACTTGGGGGTAGATTAGAGTAGAGGATCCAGACTAGCATCAAGAGTCCAGGAAGGCAGCATTCTTCAGAACAGAGAGCTGGTGGAGGACCCAGGATGGATTAAAAGTTCAAGCCCAGGAAAGGAAAAGAGGTTGCTTTTAGTATTTCCCCCCCCACCGGCCACACACTTTTGAGTTTGGTTAAAAGACTACTGGCACTAAAGCTTCTTCCTGGAATCTGACAAAGGAGTAGAATGGAAGGGGAGTCTTGAAAGGGCTCCGGACTTCATACTGATGACCAGTGTCAAATGGGACTGACCCTTATATGTCAGATCAAGCCAGCAACTGCCTAGTATCAAAACTTCGGTTCCTGAGCAAGCTCACAGAGAAACTAGCCAAAGGCTGACAAGCTCATCTAACCGGAGCTAGGATCCTACACCTGCGACACACCATGGATTCAGGCTAGAATATGGGACAGAAATAGCATTAGCGGGACAGATGGAGGATTTCCTGCTGGTAATAGATGGTGAACAGACCTCCCTTTCTCATCCTCCTGGAACTTCTGTGAAGCATTTGATACTGTTGACCAGAAGATACTGCTGTCCTGTTGAGAGAGCAGACAGGGGTCCAGAGAGAAACACACTAAAAAAATTGTATGAATCATTCCTGAAGGGACATTCCCAAAAGGCAATGATGAGAAACTGCACCTCTGCGATTCCGACCCCCCCCCCAGTGTAGACCAGGACTCCTCACTTCTTGAGTCCCACACAAGGATTGGTTTATGTCTCTGGTCCCATTCCATATCTATATGTCACCATATTAGGGGGTTTGGAACAGGTCCCATATGAGGAGAGATTAAAGAGGCTAGGACTTTTCAGCTTGGAAAAGAGGAGACTAAGGGTATGTCTTCACTACCCGCCGAATCGGCAGGTAGCGATCGATCCCCGCTGGATCAATTTATCATGTCTAGTCTAGACACGATAAATCGATCCCTGAGCACTCTCCCATCAACTCCTGTACTCCAGCGCCTCAAGAGGCGCAAGCAGAGTCAACAGGGGAGCATCAGCAGTCCACTCACCGCAGTGAAGACATCACGGTAAGTCAATCTAAGTACATCAACTTCAGCTATGTTATTTACATAGCTGAAGTTGCGTAACTTAGATAGATTCCTCCCCCCATTCCCAGTGTAGACCAGGGCTCAGGGTGGATATGATAGAGGTATATAAAATCATGAGTGGTGTTGAGAAAGTGAATAAGGAAAAGTTATTTACTTGTTCCCATAATCTAAGAACTGGGGCCACCAAATGAAATTAATGGGCAACAGGTTTAAAACAAATAAAAGGAAGTTCTTCTTCACACAGCACACAGTCAACCTGTGGAACTCCTTGCCTGAGGAGGTTGTGAAGGCTAGGACTATAACAGGGTTTAAAAGAGAACTAGATAAATTCATGGAGGTTAAGTCCATTAATGGCTATTAGCCAGGATGGGTAAGGAATGGTGTCCCTAGTCTCTGTTTGTCAGAGGGTGGAGATGGATGGCAGAAGAGAGATCACTTGACCATTACCTGTTAGGTTCACTCCCTCTGGGACACCTGGTATTGGTCACTGTCGGTAGACAGGATACTGGGCTGGATGAACCTTTGGTCTGACCCAGTATGGCCATTCTTATGTACCACTAGGAGAAATGGTAAGATGTGCCAGCAATGTGCAGATGACACACAAGACTACCTATACTTTCTATAATTACCACCAAGCTGACCTACATTTGGATGAGATCAACTTGTGGATGAAGAACAGCTGAACTGGAGTATGATGGAGGTTGGCAGAGGAAAGCACTTTGAGTAGTTTGCACTCACAGTGCATTGTCCTTTGGATTCCTTCAGTTTCATTTGATTGCTGTTTCTGCCAGCACATTGAGTAACAGGTATGAGCAGCAACAGAGAGATAAGGACAGCCCTTCCTGGATGGGTTATTTCACAGTGGATTTTCATTACTGAAGAAAGTTAAAGAATTATGTTTCTGCACCAAAACTTTTCCTTTGATAGGTCAATGGAATACAGTGAGGGAAAACGGGGAAAAAAGATTTCTAGTCAGAATATAAAGAAAAACATATTTCCTCCTTAATTACTCTGCGCCAAAAAATTAAAAATTCTGTACACATTTTAAAATTCTGCAAAATTCTGCATTTTTATTTGTCAGAAGAACATTATATAATCACGCCAGTTTCAGTTGTTTTGGAAATTTATTTCAAATACCTATCAGCAACTATGTCTGTAACAATACAAACAAAAAAAATTCCTCCAGTAGTAGAGAGTTAAGGAAACCCCTACAACAACCCAGTTCCTGTTTCTCTGCCTCCTCCCCACAGAGTCTAGCAGCGATGCCAAACACCCACACACCCCCTCCAGAGCCCAGCTGCGGCACACCCCCCAGCCGAGACATTCGCACTCCCTACCCCTCAGAGCCCAGCCATGGGGTTCCCCCTAGCCCACACAACCTACAGGATCCACAGCCCAGACACTTGCACCCCCTCCCTCCCAAACACCAGCTGCGGGGCTGCCCCCAGGCCAGACACTTCC